TCCACAGTTTGTATTCCAGGTATACAAAGTATTAATAGAAAGGCAGGAAGATTTCTCACGTCTCATTTCACCACTGGCTTGCATGCACCATAATGTCTAAACATATCAGCGAAGCTACTAACCAATAGAGTAGTATAGAGTAAAAGACACTTGTATTTTACTAAAAAAAATGTGAACACGTGGTTTGCTGTTAAACTAGCAAATCTTGAAAAGAGAAAAATCAATGATTATGATTAAACTATGTTGTTCTGCTTGATGCCAAACGATGAGAGTCTCTAAATGATAATATAACATGACCACTGGCCATCACTAGCTATAAAGATGTTTATTCTTGACCACTTTCTTATATAGGTATAATCTGTGGTATTCAGAGTATCTGGATGATATGTGACCAAATATGTCTTGCTGCTTGTACATTATGTCATTTGATGTAACCCCCCCCCGCTCACAGTTCTTCCCACACACGCTTGTGTAAGGAATACTTGTTTACATTTTTTGTCATGTTTGTTCTCGCTCGTCTTTGTGTTTTTAATTCCTTCTCCATTTACACTGGCCAGATTCTCTTTGGGTGTCGCCAGTGCTTTTATTCTACGTACACGCAGTCACTGCCCCTGTCCTGCTAAAGTCATTTCACTTCAGATGGTCTGTCTATAGCAATACTTTACACTGAACATTTGAGAAAGATAATACGAGTCTGCGCTGTTATTGTTTGGAAGAGTGTGCAATCATATTGAACTCTAGGCTCTTGAATGAAATGAGCACACACTGTGCTATAAAGTGGCTCATAACTTTATGCACTGAATTTAAAGCTCCCATTATATTGAATGGAGGACATTTGCTTAACAAACTAGAAGGAAATGGCATCACACTCTGAGAAAACTGATTTTCTTTTCCTTTATTAATATATAATGTATTTCAAATTTTCAGCATTCAGCTCCACCATCTGTCCGCGTCAGTGTCTGGTCTGCATTTTTATTTTTTATTTTTTGTACTAGTGCCTTACTTGAGTCTGCCCTACGAGCAGCTGAAAACCAGGTTGGGTGGGAGCCTGAGCCTTGTCCTCTCTGGATCAAAGCATTATGCCAGTCTATTCCCTATTGGGGTCTTAATTTAAAAAAAAAAAAAAGCCCTTTGCCATACAGTACAATGCCTTGGCTGGTGGCCTACCTGCTGACAGTGTTCTAATGCTGATATAAAAGGGCATCTGTGGATACATTAGGATTTAAAGACTAACGCTAGACTGCATTCAATGAGCATGTGGCAATTTGTGTATGAAGTTGAGAAATTGTTTAAATTCATTATGCCAAGTCCCTCTTAAATGTTTCATTGTCTAACCACTATAAGAATTAAGTTTCTATCAGTAAATGTAAGAATTACCCTGAAATATATTGTCTGACCGATTTGTCAAAGTATTAATGGAAAATAGAAAAAGTTATTAGCTCTGTTTATGAATACGTGTTGTGCTTTCTTTAACAGAATCTGTTTGTTTTCTGATTTGATGCTGTATGTATGATATTTATCTGGTCACAAAAGTATTTTTTGTATTCACCACAAATAAAGCTTTCAGACAACCGGTAACATTAAGATGATTGTTGCTTTTGTTTTTCATGTGAAATAGTGTCCCCTGCAGCTCTACTACTACTCTGACCCCAGATAAGGAGACCAAAATCAGGCAAAAGTATGTCTACTCTTTAATATATCTATATACATATATATTATTTTTTGAAACCTCAAGATAAAAGATGTCCAGTCGAATAACTCATCCTGCATTCTTGCCAGAAGATGTCAGCATTTATCCTTCATAGCTGAATCAGGAGGTCAGAGGATGTTCAAGTGGAAGGACTGGCAAAGTTAGCCAGACCAAATATGGACATTGTGGATGCATTTTTTTCTCCTTGCTTTACAGGCCAGACCTTGAAATATGCAACAATCCCCACTTAGATATTTTGGTCAATAATGAGAGTTCACAGTATTTTTATACTCTGGGTTACTGTTCCACAGCTACAGCCTTTATAAGCCTCATGTTTGAAGAATTAGTCAATCAGGAGAGTGAACTTGACCTTTTTTTCTTCTCGGGTGATACATTGCTTATTTCGTACTAAAGCTGATCCTTCTGTGCTAGAAGAAAATGTGGGCATAGTGTGCAAAGTATGGTTAAAGGTGGCCAGCACAGCACACTGTCCTTCTAATGAACACCATATTTGGTAGTTTGAATGTTTTGGTCTCATGCAAGGCAAGGCCACAGTGAAGAGGGGAAACTGAAGCCATGTGTTTAAGAGCGAGTACCCATCTACTACTCACCCTCTCCCCTCCATCTCCATTCAGTGCCTGAGACCAAAAAGATTTTTGTTTTGTTTTGTTTGTTTTTTGGTGAACTTTGGAAAAACTCAGCAAATTTACGAGTTAATAGAGAAACCGTTCAATTCCTTCCTGCTATTGACCTGCACTTAATAATTTTGCCATGAGCTAAGCTGCATTTATTGTTTTCTTCTGCAAAACACAAAAAGGGGTATTTTAACCCACACCCTTTTACCTTTTCAGTGTGTGGCTTTTTCTTAAGCGCTCTGTCTTTTTTAGTCACTTGGCACGTCGCATATTAAACAAACGGCGCGTAAAGGAAAGAAGATGCAAGATATGTTTAGCTTAATTAGAGGAAAGTGTTTAGGAAACAAAAATTAAAGGTTGAATTGAATTTGCTAAAGGAAACTTCAGAACCTGCTAATAGTTTTTGAGTATTTAAAAGCTTCATGACACACTTAGTAATCCCTTGCACCGACAGTGTAAATCTCCGGCATCCTGAATGTTCTAAACTTGCTGTGTTGGAAAGTTTGTTTTGCTGTGTCTTGTGCCATGCCTAATCCCTGCAGTCTGGCAGCCATTTAGTCCAGGCTTTGTTCCACGCTCAAGTTCCTAAAAGTGAAGCTAGGCTAACACATAGCTGGGCCAAATGACACTTGATCACCTCTACACTTTAATCATTTCAGAGCTAATCTAAGGTCTGCTTAAGGCTGATACTGGTTTATATGTTTTCCAGTTTCAGTGGCAGGCATTTTAATATAAGGTCCGAAGTAATGCAGGAATGGAATTAGGGCTTAACACTAAGAAAAGCCTATGTGAGCTTGGGAGTTGTCACACTGGAAAGCTGTGTAGGCACTTTTTGATAATGCTCTGTCAAATTTTAGTTTTCCATGTCCTGGTTTGGGTTTCAGGGATTTCTTTAATAGTGTAAACAGCGGTGAATGCTTTATAAATTAAGAAAAACATTCATAAGTCTCATGCTAAAAAAGCCTCTATGTGAACTCACTGTATCATTATTATTATTTTGAATTCGGTTCAGGTAAGGCTAAACCAAACAGACTGAGAAAGTATAAAGGTCTGTGAATTCACAGAGAGTGAGACAGCCTTTACCCTGAGCTATTTTTTCTTTTCACTTTTAGAGAACGTGATGAAAGAGGAAGAGAGGTTTGGAAAAAATGCACATCAGGAAAGGCTTTTGGGTTTTTGGGCTGGGCCTTTTTGTCCACAGCGTGCTACTGAGGTTTTCCTCTTTTATGTTGTTGCCTTTGTGCACAGACAACATTTTAACCTGACAGTGTCCTTCTTGGGTCTTTCTCTGAACAAGCAGCCTGTGAACAAAAAGTTATTGCTAGCTATGATCTCTGGGAATACAAGATGTTTTTCTTTCCAAGCGCACTCATTCTTCCACCTTTTTTACGGTAACATGTTTTTTTTTTTATAATCCTACTGAGACACATATTTCAGTGCAAAGAAGTCTAGAAGAAGGCCATAAAATAAGCTTATCAGTTCTTCAGCAGCCGTGTCAGGCTGAAAGTAATTTTCAAATTATTCAGGCTGATACAACACTGGAAACCAGTATTGTTTATGGGTTGAATGGCTACTTGGCTTCAGTCCATTTTTCCCCAAAACTCTTACAAGGTCCAGACCCAAACAAGGTATGATAACATAAAAGAAGAACATATTTAACAAGCTGTTCCTTACAAAACTCTCCATGGAATTTGCTTTTCCTGTTATTTATATTATATCTTCTCAATATTAGCATGGTTTTAATGTATTTTCCAAATCTGAAATTCAACCCTGCATCTGGGGAAAGGCACTTTTACAGCCAAACAAAGTTTTCTTCAGCTGAAATGATAAACCACTTCATGTCTCACAGATACTGCCAAGAGCTTTGTGTAAATATGCTTGTACTGTCTTGGTAATCACATTGTCTAACAGTTATATAGAAGAATACAGTGAGGAATCACAGCATGGTTTTACCTAAATGAATGAGGTCATTGTTTCAGAGGATGCCTGCTGTTTAGGCATACTCACATACCACTGCTCTGAGAAGCAGAGCTCCCTAACATAAACCTGGGAGACAGCAGCTGATGGATCTTAAAGAGCATTTCACTCCACTCTGGAAAACATGACTATTTTAGGTAATTAGCGGGGTTGTCCCAACATGTTGACTTCTCCACTTACAGTAACTAACAGTGTATAACCTTTAATTTAAAACTAAACAGAGTCAATATAGATGATCTCTTTCATAACTTTGAGCTCGTTATTGTCTAATTGCTGTGATTTCACAAGCTTAAAACACAGGTTAAAATAATAGTACAGGTATGTTCATACTTGGACTACATAAAATAGAATACACCAATTTCCAAAAGATAAGAGCATAATGGGTGTATTTTTTTTTAAAGGTAGGTAGGTTAGAAAACAGTCACACTCAGAATCTCAATCGGCCTGCTGAGTGACAAAATTCACTGTCTACCTTTCCCCTGACAGCACAGCAGCTCCTTCAGTCATCGCGTAAGGAAGGCACAGTATTTCTCAGTCAGCAATGAGAGGAGGGCTATATTGGGACTGAGCTGAGACTTAAAACTTGGGTGCTAAATTTGGAGAGCTTCACAAGTAACATCAGGAATATCTATTAAATGATATCCTCTGACTCCAAACACGTTCTTCCACAGTCAGGTTTTCCTCAGCAACTTACTTACACTTTGCTCAGTTTTGCTGAAAACGGTGTCGTGATAGAGAGCTGAGGAGCAGCCTGTCTCAGATGGTGCTGCCGGATGCATCTGATCTGCAGAGCCTCCTTGGATTTAAGCTGTCCAGAATGAAACGTAATACTCCGCCATCCAAATGCTTCTGTCTTAATAAGGAGACTTTGCTTAGCACTCGTCAGATGACAGGCCGCATTTCTGTGGAGGAGAAAAAAAGAGTCATTGGCTCCTTTCTTCACTCAATCCTGTGGCCTCCCCACCCTGTGTTAAAGCTGAATAAACACTCTCTGCTCAGCGAGGTTTTCTCAACACTGACATCAAATTTCACACAATTTTGGTGTGAGAACCTACATTTAATGTGTCATTCTATTATTGTATAGACATAGGGGGCTTGGGGGCACCCCTGTTATGAACACAGAACATACATACATAATATATATGTACATATTACTCCAAAGTAATATGTACAATACTGTGCAAAAGTCTTGAGCCAAACCTCATTTCTTCATACTTTGTTCTCAAGGAGCAACAAAAGTGGTTTCAAACAATAGCTCTCCAGGCTTTCTGAAGGTATTCCAAAGTTTTTCTTCGGACACTGACTGCTTGTCCTTATTCTTATCCAATCATTGCAAAGGAGGTTTTTTTTTTTTTTTTGATTTTTTTTTTTTTTGGGGGGGGGGGGGGGGGGGGTTGTTTGTGTGTTTGTTTTTGCTACCCCACTTATCACTGATCTATCACTGATCTATTCAAGCACATAATATGCACCTAACTCAAGGGATGAACCAATATGTGTCTGCACAACTTTTAAATTGTATCTCCAGGTTCTTTGTTACTAGCAGCCTGTTATAAAAACACAAGTGTTCTCATTTTCTTGGTCAAATCTACAGAAATACCAAACTCAGGAGAAAGGCACAATGGTGAACACAGAAAAGTAATGTCAGATTTTAATCCACCATACAATACCATCTGGAAAACATCTCATTAACAAAACATTAAGAAACAATTCTAAATACACTGCCAGTGGAAAAGCAAACCATGGATAGAAACACACAGTGGAACACTATCAGTGGTAGATTGGCCTCCCCAGACCCCAAACCTCAACATTATTGCAGCAGCATGGGGCCATTTCGACAGATGGCAGAACAAAAGGCAGCCAATATCCAAATAAGATGTTTGAATGTCCTTCAAGTCGCCTGGAGAGCTACTCCTGAAGACTACTTAAAGAAATTACAGAAAAGCATAACTAAGAGAATCCTTGGTGTGCTGAATAAAGGTGGTGGTTAAACCAAATATTGACTTTAAATCTTGCCTTATATGCCTTATATATTGTCTTTCCATGTATGTTCATGCATGGAAAGACATGCTTCAGTAATTTGTTACAACTATTTCCAATTTTTCTGATTGAGACTTTTCGACAGTAACTTCTTTGATTCTGTGGGGTTTTGATGAAAACAGTTCTGAAGATGCACTTGAAGCAACAGTTGACGATTTTTTTCCCAAAATAGCAAAGCCATTAAGAGCATATAAAGGACATGTGCTAATTGCACAAAGGTCAAAATGTGATTGATTAGGAAGCTAGGAATCATAAAGGAATAGCATTTAGATACCTCAGCTAACTTGACTCTATTCCTATAAATATAGTGGTTTAGGCCAGCTTCTTAAGCCAACACACTGGGAAGCCACAAGCGCTCACAAATGTGCACTCTCATTGCAATTTATCTGCTTCCCCCAGGCCTGGAAAAAGGAAAGGGTTGCTTTTGCTGCCTTCCAAAACCTGACTGGCTCACTAAAAGTAGTTTGTGCAGAAAAAAAAAAACATGCTTTAGATGAAGCCCCCCCACAAATATGCCAGTGATCCCACATCTGTCCATTGGCTTAATTCTGCCTTTCATGAAGTGAATTTCAGTGTAAATAAACCATTAAGTTTGCATATAAGCATGCATCAGTGCTCTGAGTACATTTTGCTGATAACATTTTTTACATTTGTACTGAAGTAGAGATGGCACGATACCACTTTTTATGTCCGATACCGATACCGATATCATAAATTTGGATATCTGCCGATACCGATATGAATCCGATATAGTGTTTTTTAATCAACAAAACTGTTTTTTAAAATATCTTGCTGCATTTTGCAAGTCTGCAAGTTCATACTCAAGTTTAAAACAACAACTACACTAAAGCTATTCTGTTATACCTGTATACAAAAAAAATATTTCATAGTTCAGCAATACTGATCAATCTAATAAACTTAGACCTACACCATCCTCCCTATTCTGGTATTTTAAAGAGTACTTAGCGTAAATATTAAGCAACCTAACTAATAGGGTTCCAACTCCCAGCAACAACAAAATTAAATAAATAAAAAATAGGGAACCACCCCTCACGCGCCACCTCATGATACTTAATCGACGTAATCAACCTTAATTTGATGCAGTGTGAAAAAAAATGCACAGAAATCAATTATTTTCAAGAAATATTAAATAGATTCAACATCTTTCTTCAACAAAATTGCAGACTGCACAGATGGTACCTTCCCAAAGTAAAAAGTACTATAGCTTACTAGGGTATATATATTAGACTTAATAGTCACTATATACAGTAATTGACTTCTATTCATTTTACATCAAATTAAAACTTTGGGTGTCAGATAATTATTTATTAAAAGCTCGACATTTTAAATGAGAATAAGAAAGAAAAGTATGTCTTTGTGCCCCCTTTTCCCAGTTAATGCCCTATCGGCCCCCTGGCTAAACTTTGCTAGATCCGCCCCTGCACAGTTACCAGCCGTCAGCTACGTAGAAAAAGATCCTGGTGTAGAAATTAATATTAAATAAATTCTAACAACAGCTTATCAAGCTTAAACGTGCTGCTGTTGTTCAGCCGCTGGTTTGCTCTTTCTGGCGCAAAGTGGACCAAAAACAAACGAGAGACAGACTCGCGACAGAAAAGCCGATCAGCTGATTTAAGCAGTTTCACGATTGAAGTAGCAGCCGGAGAGCGAGAGGCAGTCGCTTGTTAAGCTTAACGTGGGAATGCTTTACAAACATTCAGAGATGGACTTACACACTTGCTTTACTTCTCTCGGGGATAACTTTGTCGGAGATGAAATGCCAGGTTGCTAGCGAAGCTCCACATGCTATCCAGACCACCGACAGGTCCTGCATGCCACAGCTGCTCTATCACGTGATGCATACGTTCTGAGGTGAGTTACGGCGTGTTGCAAGTTTTGTGAGGTGCTTTCGTGATATTTAATGGATCGATTACATTTTTTATTTTTCTCCGATATCCGATCCAGTAATTTAGGTCAGTATCGGACCGATACCGATACGTAATATCGGATCGGTCCATCTCTATACTGAAGTACGATTTAATTCATCTAATTCACGAAGCAAGATTTTACATTCATGTCCTGGTGTTTTTATTTAATAAAGGGATCCTCCCACCACCAGTCTTTCCTGTTCTTTTGATGGGAGTGTCTTCGGGCAGCCTCAGCATAATGATCCTTTTATCGTACTGTACATTGTTATCTCTGACATCCAAGGCCCCAGCGCAGGAACTAAGCAGACCACACCAAATGAGTGTCTATTTATTTTCATGTCTATCCGCTCAGCTGCTTTATGACCGACTTTGCACAACTGTTTTATCTAGATCCCTAGCTGTGTGGTGAGTCGTCGCTTTGCTGGGAAAACTGTCGTGGCATCTGATCAAACGTGGGGCCACAAGACAGGCTTTGGTATGAAAATGCAGGTGTTGCAGAGTTGTGGGTTCCTGTGGCATTTCTCGCTGCGGAGAGGCCACTGTGACCCAGGCACAGTGAACACAGTGCGTGTGTTCAAACAGCCAGCCAGAACCACACTGGAATGTCTCATCACCAGAGGTTCTCACACACACTTCACATTATGGCCCTTTCATTTAGTCAGCTTGAAGTCTGGAACTCATACGAAAACATGATATGAACCATCGTCTCCTGTTTTGGATTTACAACATGCAAAGTCTTTTGCTTACTGACATGGCAGTTGTAAGTAAGGAAAATCACTCTCCCTCGAAAAGAATTCTCATGAGAGGATGCATTAAGAAAAGTTTGTATGAAGTGATTTAGATTACATCAAGCAAAACCACAGAAATACAACACAATCTCAGCATCCTCCTCCTCTGGCCATCCGTGCCAGAGAGCTCTGACAGGCAGGGAGAACAGTGGCTGAGCTAGAAGTGCATACCAAGACATTTTATAGCCCCAAGGAATGAAAAGAAATATCGAGTATGCTTTTGGACCTCACAAAAAGCCCCCGCAAGTTAGCCCTCTCATATGTCTACCTCACTTACACCAGAGAGCCCATATATGGACACATATATGAAAGGTTTTTCGTTCGTGCGCAAACACGGAAACTTCTAGCCCTGTGACACGAAGGGCAAAAGATTGAAGGCAAATATTTGAATAGAGCTATCCTCGAGATATTCGGCAGCTGCGAACTCAGATGTACAATGCGACAATAATTGGTTGAGTACGTCAGCAAGCACAAAGCAATAGATGGGCATTTAAGTTAATGATAGAAAAACACACAGGAAAGAGGTTTAGAAAAATGTTTTAACAGCTTTAAATCCACCAAGAGTAAATTTTTGGACTCCTTATCTGGAACCGGGAGATGTCAAAGCTGCCTGTAAACAACAGTTCACTGCACTTCCTGCTTGACTCGCCCTTCTGTGTACAAATAAAAACAAAGGCCAAAAAATGTGATTTTGCTGGAGACATATTTGTAAAGCTGACTGTCTCACAAATCAGTGTTTTGTTTTTTTTTCCTTTCACTATTCGTGCCTTGACATTTCTTGGCTTTTGAGAATTTGATTTTACACTAGGATTGTGGCATGGCATCCCACATAAGTGTGAAATGAATCGTGACAGTTCCCCACAGATGCCAACCCCACCCGCTTCTAGTCTAAGCTGACTGAGCAGCATCAGATATGGCTTACAATCTTCCCTCTCTGTGTGTCCCCCCTCTAAGAGGGGAAGAACACAAACAAACTGTCTGGGAGGCGCCCTGCCGAGGCCACAAATATTCCTCCATTATGACTTCTACCCACATTTGTGTTTGCTCTACTGAACGTGTTAACTTTTGGAATTTTCCTCCATAGCTCAGCTTTTTCTCAATAACTTGTTGTGGCTTTGGTATTGTCACAGAGGCTTTTCTGCAAACTTGAAAAATGAGCTTTAAATCTCAGCTTTGACCGATTATGAATTTCAAAAATGCATTTAGAAATTTATTTCAGGACTCCCAGGGAGCATCATAGACATATGTGTTTTTTATAAAACTGAAAGGTTTGTGTCTCATTCGTGGACTGTAAGAGGATTTTCTTTCCACAGCCTGTGGGATGACAGATCCTTTCTTTTAACAGCACCTACTTGTGCTGTAGCAAAATCTTGGCACTGGAAGAAAGCTACCCATCTTCAGTGGAACACCTGCAGCTGAATTAGGTTGACCTTCATACCAAAGGAATTTGCCTTTGGCGAAAACTGTGAATTCTGATCAGCTCATACTGTACTTTCAGTGTTTGTCATTTAAACAATAGGTTTGCTGGGATTAAAACAGAACAAGGAACGTGCCGGTGTGATTTACACCCTTAATGACAGATTTATCACCACACAAAAAGGAGTGACTCAAAGTGTCACAGCCTTATTGCAACTATCCATCAAGTTAAATACTGTAGCTGTCTCTGTGCCATGGTTGGATGTCCACATGGTTAGATGTCCACCTGTGCTCAATAATAAACCAGTTCAAGTCTTACGACTACCAGTATATGTCAGTGGAACATTACTGTGGATAAACCAATCATCAGTAGGGCATGGGCTGGGCTTGGGTTACATCTTAAGTTGCACCCTCCCAGAACCCCATCTCAGTTTTTGCTATGCTAAATGCCCCTGCATGGAGCTATCTAATCACGGGGGTACCGTCCCAAAGGGCCAAGAAGTTTTCTCTCTATATATATCTGGATGATGTCTGCAGAAACCTTAAGATGTTATTTGACGAGGGGTCTGCAATCACTGTACTTCACTCAGCAGCCATGCACTCAACATGGAGGAGAACCGCCCTTGAAACGTTCACTGCTGTGTATCGGTGCAATCAGTAATACCGTGCATCATTAGAAAATAATCACTCACAAGTTGGCTTGTGGTTTCAAAGCATATGGCAAAACCTCAGGAAAGTTTTTAAGTGTTTTCCTGGAAGAACTTCCAGTCTTTGCATCCAATAACCTTTGTAAATGCACACAACACAATAAACAGAACAGAAGCAAATGGATCCTTTCTCTAATGTAGTAACATTTAAGCCATGACTAGACCCTGAATATCTCTCCCAAGTGTCTTCTTATGCAAACATGGGTTCAGGCACAGCGGCCAAGTAAAGCTCGGCTACTCCCAGAGCGTCAGCTGAGGAGAACCGGACATTCCACATACAGAGTGGGCTGTCATTGTAGGACTAACAGATTAACTATTACAGTGTTACAATATTATAAAGCAGCTCCAAATGGCTGCTTTGTGTCATTTAAATTCGGGAGGATCACAAACGGTCCGTAATTGAAAGACTTTCTTTCTACCAGCTTTTGACCTTTTTGCGTCTATATTTATGTGTTTAACATGCTCTAATTCGATTATGTATGGCATCCTTTTTTAAACCCTTATTTATAAACATGTGAGCTGCAAAAGCTTTCACTGATTTGAATTTGAATATGACGATAGCCCCACCTGTCTCACTCAGCTGTCCCCTCCTGCAGACCAAATCATGATACGGGGAGACAATCAGAATTCCAACATGACAGAGTATCCCAGACCTGTCCAGAAAATAGGCAACAGTTGTCTGATTGCAAGTCTGTGTTTTCAACTCACAGTAGGACGGAATTCTTCCTTGACTGTATTCCCCTCAGTTGTTTCCACCTCTAAGGATAATTGTTAAGAATATTCATGGCCTTTAAATGAGTATTTACTGTTTTCAACACAAGAAATTCTTTACTGATGCGGCAAAGCTTTGTGGGAGAAGACTGCATAATAAGAGTGAAGTTATTTATAATGTTCCAACAAGTAAGTCCCAAGAAAGCATTTATCTTTAAATCCCAGCTTCAATGCTGCATATTGTAGGACGTAGGCTTAGACTTATTTAAGGTTGGCAGCTTTAATGGGCTTCAGAGACCGAGTTTTTTCTTTTCTTTCAAAGAGCTCAAAATTACATGTCTAGATCTTTTCTTTTTCTTTTCTTTTTTTCATTCTGCAACCTTGAAAAAAAAACACTTTTTCCATGTGGTGGCTTTCTTAAATGCCTTAAGCCTCAAATACTGAAAGAGTTTGTTATTGCTTTCTCATTTGTAAAAATGAAAGAAAACTTAAGTGTTACCTTCAGCTGTGAGAGTACCTTTAATTTTCCAGTGGAATGCAACTTGGAGCTCGGCAGGTTTTCACTAATATCTGGATTTCATTCAAAATAAACATATTAGGCCCTGGGACATTCTTAATGTGCCAACGATTTACAGTAAAACATGATAAAAGGAGCTTATTTTCATTCCAGGGGTGCTACAGGAACTCTGGCATGCCTTTTAACTGGAAATACTGTTTAAGATAATGAATATGGAATTCCAAATCAAGAACAACCAGCAGTGCACTATAAATTATACATTACTGAAAACATAAATGGCAAACTGTGCATAGGTATTGTAACCAGAAACATCCACAATACTGTGAACGATATGGCAACAAACAAACAAAAAAAGGACTGAACACTCAAAGCGTTAAATAAATGAAGTGGCTTAATTTACTAAGTCAGTCATGCAAGACTCAAGAAAGACCTCTTCAGCAACCTTGCAGACTTCCTTATTTATAGAGAAAAGCTTTCCAGAGCTTTGATTTTAGTGTGAGAGAAAAGCAGTTAGACACAAACTCTGTAAACAGTGCCTTTCATTGCCATTAATAATTAGAAAACAAAGGCTGTCCCCAGATTAGCAAAATGCATTTTCTTTTAGGGCTCATGACAGTCAAATGTAAAACAAACAAACAAAAAAACAACCACTAATGGCTAAATTGGAAAGAGACAAATAAATCAATAGGATAAGAAGTCTCATCTTTCTCTGGCACTGTAAAAATCATAATTTGCTCCTTATTATGTAATTATTTCTTTTATTCAGTCTGCTGAGCATAGCAACAATATTCTATAAAACAGGCCAAAGCCTGAGCAAGACAGCGATTATTTTAAGAGACATATCTAATGCCTTTAGACCTTCCACTCTTGGCACAGTGTCTTGGATCCATTACAGACTAAGGCAGGTGCATGGAAGAAAAGTCGATCCTAAAAATATCCTTGAGAAGACTAAAAGACACTTGGAGTGTCCTCAGTCACCGTAGTGTGCTTTGACTTTTCACTAAGTTACTGCAGAGGGATCATTACTTGATATAATTTCTGTTAGGCATATTGTTATAATCGCATTGAATAATAATTGCTTAAATTTAGTAAGGCTAGTAATAAATATGCAATATGATGTGAAATTGTCTTCTTCATTAGTTTTTAAAACAGTAAACATTTCACAAATCACAAGCCAATCAGTGACTTAGCCGCTCTTATTGAAGTACAAAGCTGCCAGGATGCTGTGATGCCAGACAAATGACACATCAACGGTTTACATGAGGGATATCTGATACATTATCAGGTAAACACTTCCCTCTGTTGAGCCCCCTGGACTGTGAACAATGCCTCTAGGGCTTGCGTGGCTAACCAAAAGCATCTCATATCACAGAGAGCCACTACAGCATATTCCAAGCGAACTTACACTCAGCCACCCAAACACACTCAGGCAGAGATAAAGAGCTACCATAGACTACACGGTGACAAAAGCTTGTTCTGCAGCTGGCTCTGGTCCCTCTCCCAGCTTTTCCAAAGTAAGAAGAGATGCAGGAAAACAGGAAGGCACTGCCACTGTGAAATAAGGCCAGAAAACGTAATTTCTTGCAAATTAAACATATGCCAACTTTCAGAAACTTTGGGAAAGTGCAGGCCACTCAATTCAGAGACAGAGGCTGCATGTTGCTTTTAAATGGGTGACCGGGGCGTTAACGCAAACGTAAACAGTCTTTTTCTGCATCTTCTCTGACATTAAATGGCAGGAACCCTTTCCGTGGGAGCATACCCATACTCGTCACACCCCATATAAAGGCGTCTCAGATGTATAGGAGCAACGAATAGCCAAGCAGATCCTTAAAAAAACGCCGGAGCACCCACACACGCCTCCTCCCAAAAAGTATTGGATGTCCAAAGGAATCCAGTCACTCCCCCACCACCACCACCTTGAAAGTACATATTTGACAGTGCAAAGTCAGGCAGAGCCTGCACTCCAGCTTAGCGTTCAGTTAGGCACAGACGCCCCAGCCCCTCTCCCACTCTATCCTTGGTTTTCCGTTGGACGTTTTGTCGGTGCCGCCGAACAACACTAAGCAGCCATGGATGCCATTAAGAAGAAGATGCAGATGCTCAAGCTCGACAAGGAGAATGCCTTGGACAGAGCTGAGCAGGCCGAGTCAGACAAGAAAGCAGCAGAGGACAGAAGCAAACAGGTCGGCTGTTTTTTTTTTTTGTCCTTCTTCCTTTTGTGGGAAAACCCGAAAGATGCAGTAAAAATGCAGGAATACCAGTTTAAATGGACCGCCTCCTTAAAACGGATTAATTATTTTCATGGATAATCCCAGTTAAGGATTAAAATTAAGAATAATCCATCCTTTAAACATTTTTTTGCATTTTTAATGTCATTTTTGAAGAATGATAAAAAAGAAATCATCCTCTCCACTGTTTTAGCAACTGTTGATGTAATCCATAAACCATATAACCCAGAAATCATTTTTGATTAAGTCAATTTAAGAGAAATGTCACTTGATCGTTGAAAACTGCATGTTTCTGTTATATTCTGTTTAACTGTATAATTTGTTCATATGCATGTGAAGTTAGAGGACGATATAAGAGAGATGGAAAAGAAATTGCGTATAACTGAGGACGAAAGAGATAAAGTGCTCGAGGAGTTCCAAACAGCTGAAGAAAAGCTGCTGACTGCTGAGGAGGTCGCCACCAAGGTATCTGATCCTGAAGTGCATGGGCTTCCCTAACTTTTCTCCTGTCTCTTTCTTTTCCGTGTGCTGTCCCCTGTCTCTCTCTCTTCTCTGTGTGTATGCGCTTTTGCGCCTGTGCGCGCTCACGCAACTCCGACCCTCCGCTGATCACCCCTGAAACTGTCCTGCACTGAAACTCAGCTTGAGGACGATTTGGTAGCTCTGCAGAAGAAACTGAAGGGAACTGAGGATGAGTTGGACAAGTACTCCGAGGCTCTTAAAGATGCCCAGGAGAAACTTGAGCTGGCTGAGAAGAAAGCCACCGATGTAAGTAAGGAAGGGATTTACAATGGCACCATTCCTACACGCTACCCCACATCTTCATTCTGCCACCTCTAAGGGAAGCGACAGTTCACCACCACTGCTCCAATCTGTGGATGGGTTTTTCCCCAAAGCTGATACACTACAAACTTTTATTTATTTGTTTGTTTGTTTGTTTTTAATCAACCATTTAGACCCGTAGTTGGAACTGTCGTTTCTTGAATTGTCACACGCACAATCACAGTCCAAAGAAAGTCGGTTTAATTGTTCAAATATAGCACTTTCAAAACATCTATTTTTAAACTCAGTTCATCCTCCCCTGGAGCCTCGTCGGTATTTCTGTACAAATTTGTAACAATCTCTCGTGTTTGTGGACCGTGATCTCCGCCTTTTAGGTCTTTTCAGAGCGATAAGTCATGCAGACTGAACTCACAGCCTTCCCAAAAAGCTCAAGCGCCTAGATAAATATAGCCCACTGCTATATATGGTCAAGATAGAGCTCACATCTGCGTGCTGCGCTCTTTGCTGACCAAAGGAAAAAACGGTTCCCTATCAAAAAGTCTTGGGCAGCACACAAATTAAAAAGGAAAAAAGAAAGGAAAAGAAAGCTGCAGCATTTTTTTTTCTCGATTGAATAAAAAGTTCTTTAAAAAAGAAGAAGAAAACTTTGTTTTGTTGCCCCACTGTTTTATCCCCTTGGTAATAAATGCGTGACAAAAATAAATAAATAAATAAATAAAATAAATTATGTAAAGAATTTAGATTTTGTCATCTTAATGGCCTCATAAAGTTAGGTTTTTACGACAGGGGTCCCTCGAATGACAAGAGGTGACGGCCAACATCAAGTTCGGCAGATAGAGACGTTTGCTTATAAAACTCAATCAGACGAATCCGGTTGCAGAGGGGAAACAAGCTGTAATAATCTTTTAATTGGATCTCAAAGTAGGGGGTAGGTGGGTGGTTAGGCCAAAGTGGGTCAAAAGTCAATTGAGTAATTGAGTCTTCTCAGCTCGTATTTGATTGGACATTTCATTCCCTATAGAAAGCGTATTGTGGTGCCCCCCCACCCCCCACCCCACCCCAAAAGAAAAAGATATTTACCAGATAGTTTGTGGGTTGTTCGAGTAACTTTAACTACTACTTGTGTTTTATGGACTTGTTTTTCCCTTACATATTTTAGGATTGGTTGTTCCGTGATATTTGCAAAGTTTCAACGGCAGCCTGTAATTACTGTAGCCAGTGAAGACTTATTGAATGTCCTGCACTCTCCAAAACATTTCACTGCCACGTATGTACTGCTCGCGGCTGACCCGCAGAGGGGGCTGTAGCACAGTGTACGCTACGAGTACGCTCCGTTGTGTGTGGGTCTGGGTGTGTTCACGTCATTAAACAGCATTGGTATTTTGTATCTTTTACATTTTATTACATTTTATTATTTTATAGTGGCAGTGCAGCATGTTATCGCGGTCTAAAGTTTTGTACAACCCCGCAGGATACCGGTTATTTTTTCATGCTTCTTTTGAAATCACCGTACTTCCTGGTAAATACATTCACTGCACAGTGCGTCTCCAGAAGGCTTGCGCACTCTTTCGCCTCTCTTCACGCAGCCCTCTGCACAACCAAGGACGTCACCTCGTTCCTGGTGAAATTCTCGGAAACTGTGCTGCAGCGCAAAAGTGTAGTCCTGTTTTTTATATTATATATCTAAGTATATACAACGGTACATAAACAATGGCAGGAGTGACATCGCTGGATGCAGTGAAACGAAAGATCAAATCCTTACAAGAGCAGGCAGACGGTGCTGAAGACAGAGCCGAGAGATTACAGAAGGAGTTGCTTGCGCACAGGAAAGCCAGGGAACAAGTAAGCATGTTTACCGCGCTTAGAGCCTACCTGCGAGCGCACAATTGCCTCCTTTTTGTCTCTCTCTCTCTGTATCATTTCCTGTGCACTTGTGTAGAGTTCATGTAGGGCCATAGTTTGAATTGATACACAGTGAGATAGCGGGATTGCTCTTGACCCACCCCAGTGCTGGAAGCTGAGCTTTTACTTGGCTCTCCGTGTGCCACCGCAAGTCTCAGATGAAGCTTTGATAGCCCGCTGCTCCTGGATAAGCGCCTCTAATTGGCAACGTTAGGCCGCTGATGCCCTGTTGGCTCAGCAGCAACTGTGGCACTTTGTGTCATTGTATTGTCTCATCTCCTTAAACGAGTTCACTTGCATTTCCTTTACCGGTAAACCTGACTGTTTATATATATATATATATATATATATATATATAATATATATATATATATATATACATATACACATATATTGCGATCCTTTAATTCATTGCTCCAGCCCAACCAGGAGCAGGCCACACATTTGAATAAAGTATTTTCAGCAACCAGGAAACTACCACTGTGGCAACATTTGAAGGTGCCAGTGTGCTCTGTCAGCTTATGCTCTTTGACTTGCCCTTATAAGGACAATATAGTTTCACAGCAACGAGCAACAGAACATAGCGGTAGTTATCTATACGGGAAATAAATCTTAGTGCACAGGCTCGCAGCAGTCAGAGTTAATCTCAGGCTTAGTGTAACAGCTTGTAATTAATGTTGACAAACTGTAATGTATTAGAAATAGTAGTGACCACTAATGGGTTTATAGGTCATTAGAAACTTCCTCATCGTGCTTTAAAAACATCCAGTGCATTCTGGCCCAGCGCTGCACACTTTAACCTAAGGCTGCAGGGGAAAGCTTCTGAAAAGACTTTTGCCTCGTGTGCAGGCTTCTGCCGAATATCCGCTTTTCAGTGACACCAGTGCAGGTCTTGATCCCTGCTGAGCAGTGTCAGAAAGCAGAAGTAGCTACACGTTTGAATAATCATAAAAAGACCCACCTTTTTTTTCAATGTGTGCTCGTGTATATCAGCTTTTCTGCAAAGATACCACCTCATTTAACACAGATTCCATAGCTTACACTGATGACCAGATAAATTACACTTAAATGTTTCAAACCCCAGGGAGCCTACTTTGTAGCTGTACAATGCCAGCAGTCATTTTCAGAATTCATTAATTGTGCCAGGCCCTTTTGACTTGAGCCTTGTTAATGTCCTCTCAGGGGAGCTCAGTAATGAGGCGCGGCATTCAGCCTTATGTTAGTTTGGGGAAATTATCATTATACATAGTCAATGAGGAGTAGGCCTGGTGGGAGGGCTTTTCCCAACAGGTGGCTCACAGATAACACTTCAGAACAACCACGATTACACTCTCTCAGTGGGCATAAAAACAATGGTGGCGACACCTACTCTAATAAACAAATACATTCACCGGTTGCTTTCTTTGGACCGACTTTCTTGTTGTGCTATATGTGACTGATTTGTTGAGCATACCTGCAAAAACAATCTCCCGACATGATGTTTCTTCTTTCCTTAGGCTGAGGGAGAGGTCGCTTCCCTTAACAGACGTATCCAGCTGGTTGAGGAGGAGTTGGATCGTGCTCAGGAGCGTCTGGCTACTGCTCTGACCAAGCTGGAGGAGGCTGAGAAGGCTGCTGATGAGAGTGAGAGGTGAGTTTTGTGAGGCAGCTCAGGCTCAGACAGGGAGGTAAACAGGCCATGTGAACATGTTTCCACTCCTTTGTAGAA